TCACGTCGAAAGGAGCCAGTTGAGGGGGTTTGGACATCTGGTGCGGATGCCTCCTGGGCAGCTACCCGGAGAGGTTTTCCATGCATGTCCTACAGGGAGGAGGCCCCAGGGCAGGCCCAGGACTCGCTGGAGGGATTATATCTCTCGGCTGGCCTGGGAACGCCTCGGTGTCCCCCCCGAGGAGCTGGTGGGGTTAGCTGGGGAGAGGGAGGTCTGGGTGCCTCTACTGAAGCTGCTGCCCCCGCGACCCGAACCCCGGACAAGCGGCAGATGATGGATGGATGGATGGAAATTTCATTTGCCAGGTAACAGCCCAGTCGCTAATTAAATCAAGATCCTGTTGTAACCTCTGTGCTGCTAATTTAGTATCTGCTACACCACCCACCTTGGTGTCGCAAATTTAACCAGTTTAATGTACGTATTGGTGTCAATATTATTAATGTAAATTAGGACCAATAATGGGCAGTGGTGGCTTGATGGTTAGGGTAGTGCACTTGTAATTGAAAGATTGCAGGTTCAAATCCCCCACCAGCAAGTCACCACTGAGGTACGCTGAGCAAGGTACCGTCCCCAAGCACTGCTCCCCGGGCGCTGAATTAGCTGCCCCCTGCTATGTCATGAAAGTCACATATGGGTCAAATGCAGAGGACACATTTCGTTGTTGCGCACTGTGTGCTGTGGTGTGTTGACACTGATCACTTAATTCTAAATTCTAAAATTGAACCCTGTGGTACCCCACTATGAACGCAGGCCCACTGTGACATTGTACCTCTAATAACTACCCGCTGCTTCCTGTCTGTTAACCAGTTTTCGATCCAAGCTGCTACAATTCCTAAAATCCCTGCAGCTTTGAGCTTAAGCAAGAGCTGTTTGTGGGGGAGAACATCAAAGGCCTTCTGGAAATCTAAGTAGATCACATCATAGGCTTTTTTGTGATCAATTTCTCTTGTAGCTTCCTCAAAGAACTCAAGTAGATTAGTTAAACAAGACATACCTCTCCTAAATCCATGTTGGCTATCCCTCAGAATGTTATTTGAATCCAGGCAATCTACCATTTTCACTTGGATTATAGCTTCCATTCCCTTTCCAGTTATGCAAATGCCAGGACATGAGGGCACATTGCTGCTGCCTCATCCCACACTTGCTTCACCGTGAAAGGCTAGGGTGCAACAGTGGTGCTCCTGTAGATGATCGCATACGAACACTTACGCTTGCTCAGTTGAAAAGCTTGCGCTTTTGCCTTTTAAAGGTGAGGTGACATGCCATTCTGATTGGTTTATTGCTTGTTCAAAACACGATTTTGAATATTTAAGAGAGTTAGGACAATCTTTTTGCTCCTTACGCTGGTGCACCACCAAAATAGCTAAATGGATTTGGACATGTCCATGTTGGTTGTGGTTTTGCGCTTTACGATTTGCGTTAGATTGTGAAAATAGAGCCCAGTATGTTTACTGCCCATAACTCCCACATAAGAAGTTCACTCAGGAAGAGAAATAGTTTAAACATGATGATGTATTCCCAACAAAAGTGATATATTCTACACCCCTTTATCTCCATGAAAAATGAATTAATGTAAAACATGTTGGACCCTACAAGCTGTTAAGTAGCTTTTGTCTGCCTTTGATTTTTTTCCCCCACAGGTCACAACACATTCATGACCATAGAGTAACAAACACAGGGCTCTTTTACCTTCATTCTCCTCCAGTCGTCGAACCTGCTTTAGAATAGGCTGCAGGTTCATATACAAACGGTGACTGTTACTCAAGAGCTGCAGAAGGTGTCGCGACCTCATGGAGCAGCCAGTATAATAGATCAGTTTTCGAGCTGATGGTAGCCCATCTGGGAGTATCTCAAACTTCTTTCCCTATCATAGGGAATTGCACAATAAAGACAGATCTATACACAGTACATTCACAGATCCTCAAGTCACCAAGATCTCATAAATTGCTAATTAATGTGTATATTAACTTTAGTGGAAAAACAAAATGTAGTTATTTAAAAATGTTGGCCGCAAGATGATTCTTTAAATATTCTATAATAAAGTTTGTATAGATTTTTCATTACTAGCCTTCCTGTTCAGCTATTTTTTATTTTATTTATCCAGTACTTCTAGAAACTGTGTAGGTTGGTTAGGGACTGTTCAGGGAATTCAATGCTGCCATTCCAGCATCTTTTCTAGTTATATTACTTAAATTCAGACAATAATATTTCTGCATTTAATTGCAGTATCATTCCGCTTTTCCCTGAGAGTATATGTATTATGTGTGATACAAATGATTTTTGCAGCATATCCCATTCCTGTTCATCTCATTTTTTGCAAGGCATGGCATTATGAAAACTGATGCATTTATGCATTTTTTAATATATACGGCAGTTTCTCTTAACTTCAGGTACAATAAAAGATATGTGAATGAGATTTTAACTCACCACAAACACCAGTTTCCCCACATTTGTCCAAGGGAAATCATACAGAAGTTGTCTCACAGCTCCCACATTCTGAGATTAAAATAGATTTGAAATCACATTTATTTCAAACACATGACACAAACAAATCACACTAGAAAAAAAATGCAACATGCAACTTTTGCATAATCATAGAGAAAATTATAAGTTGTGTGTTAATGCAGCTGGCAAGGGACCTGGAAGATTTGAATTCCTCGCAAGGTCAATCCAAGAGTCATGGAGGCCTCAACTTCTTTTTTATCCTGTTTAAAGATAGAATAGAATTAAACTGACGTTCAAAAGAACCATTTTGCAGTTTTAAATCCTATTGGATTCAAATCACTACTCTTGGAAATAACTGTCACAAAACATAAGGCACTCAAGATTTGGCTTCTAAATCACTAAAACCACTGATGTGCAAATGTGATCTACATTCGAGCTGGCCACTGTGTGGCCACTAACATATTAACTCCATAATGAACCATAACACACAGACTAACGGTGGCAGGAATATTTAAACATCAGTATGTTCATGTAATATAGAGCAGGATAAGTGGGTAGAAGATGAACTGACAGATCGAAGTGCAGGCATCTTCAAACCCTGTCTCTCACTTTGTAGAGTCTGTAGTAGTGCACAGTGACATCATCCAGCTGAGCTGATTCTTTGATGTACTTCAGGTGGGCTTCAGAGGCAGTGAGGGCAAACTGATCCTTGTGCATGTTGGGGATGTGCCTCAGGATGTAATCACTTCCTCTCTTTGCAATCACCTGGAAAAAAAGTGTATCAAATGAGTCAAAGTTCACTTACTCATTCTTGCAGCAGTCAGGACACCAAGAGTACTCACTGAGAGTTGTAACCCACATAGAACGTCTAATTAATTTATCATACAAGAAAGGGGTTACAGTAATTTTGGTAACAATGCCGTATGAATCCAATTTTAATCCACAGAAATGCTACATCAAAACTTTTATTTTGTAAAATTAAAGCATGGTGAGGAAGCCTACAACATCTATATGATATTTAATAATGAATCAATATACTTAAGTTTTCTAAACCTGGGGTGCAAAGCAGCAGCAATTAGGATTGTGTTTGGAGAGTCATTCTCGATCATTCTTCAGAAAAATCAAGTTCAGGGTATGACGTGCACATTGCACCAATGTTCATCCATGCTATTCTACCAAAATCTTCTCTGCTGCTACGACATTTGCACCATTGTCACGGACAACAAATTTTGCTTTCAGTGGTGTAATGTCAAATTTGGCAATAACATCATCAAGCCACTCTGCAACATTTGCAGCCATGTGTCTCCCATCAAGGGGCATTGTTGTCAGGTTATGGGGCAGAGCGATGCTGTCAGTATCCTTAATGGTGTTCTTCAACTTGCATTTGATGTCTTCATACTTCATACATCATTTTCATGAAGTAGGTTCTTGAAGGAAGTGTGTACCCGGGATTTGAAAGTGGAAATCATCTTCTGAAAGCCTTCATCCTCCACCATTGACAGTCAGCACATAACTGTGACAATCATGTTGAAAATTATGTCTGTCAATTGTTTTTAATATTTTTCAATGTTAATGTACTTTAATGATTATGTAATTATTAAAATTTTCTTTCACTCCACCTGAGTTCACCATCTCGGTAATGGAACCGCCTCTTTGAATGTAAGTTTTTATTGTAATGAAGCTTCATCATTCAAATTGCACTGCCTTTGAAAACAGCACTTAATCCATTATTATTTCATTTGTCATGTCCTATATTTATTCATTAATCTGCGTTTGTGGGATGTTGCGCATACATCTTCACTAGCACATATTGGCCTCTCCCCAACCAATCCCCGTGGTTATTGCAGCCAAGCTTGAGCATGAGGACTAACATCAGCCATAGCAATGGAATCTTACTCTTACACGTAGGAGTTCTCGCTTTGCCTTAGTAAAAGTTGGTCTAAGCCACTTTGTGAACAGCATTTAGGAGAATACTTTTACCTAGAAACTTTTAGTCTGACATAGGAGGGCTCCTAGTGATAAGACAAAACGTTTTGTGAAAATGGGCCCAGGTTAATGTCAAAACGTCTGTTTGAAATCTAAGTACCATTTCATAAACCAATGATTACTCATACAATATTCTGAGGTTGAACGTATTTTACTGTACATTTTTTTTAAATAATGCGCTCTAAAATTGGTATTTTCCATTAGGACTTTTTGACAGCAATTTATCTTGTCAATGTCAAAATGTCTGTTAGAAAGCTCAATACCATGTGATAGACTAGTTATTACCTTTACTATACTTTGAGTTTGAAGACATTGTGCTGTATAGATTTTAATAGTGTGTCATCTGAATATCCTACTTTAACCATTAAATCCCACTGAAAAACAATGCATGTTCTGCCATGTTCTGTGGCACCTCATCAGGGACCGTAACACAGCATTCAGGTCAGGAGACAGGGCACTGTACAGTGCATCCAGAGCTAACCTGAAGAAAGGCATCAGGGCTGCTAAGGTCGCATACAAAAGGAAAATAGAGGGATACATCACAGACAAGAACCCACGTCAAGTGTGGCACGGATTACAAAACATCACCAACTACAAGGGCCACCAGATCACACCCCCTTCCGCCGATGCTACAGTACAATGGCAGAGGAGTTAAATAACTTCTTTGCCCGGTTCGAGGCAAATGGTCATTCAGCCCCCCCCCCAGCCTTCACCAACACCCCGCTACTCCTCCAGGAACATCAGGTGAGGAGGGTCCTGAGGGAGGTTAATCCAAGGAAAA